TGGAAAGTTCGGGGGGGGGGGGGGGGGGGGGTCGTGGAATCTCAACGGTTTGGCGCGGTACCCAGTATTTTGTCGTTGACCCAGCAGGGACCTGCTGGGAAGTTTCAATGAAAAAATTATTTCCATCACCACCGCTGTAGGCGTTTTGTTTCAAGCTGGAATGACTAGTTCGTCTGGTGTGTAAGGGCTTACGATTCAGACTCTACCAAGTTCCAGCAGGCGCCACTCAACCCTCACTGCCGTATACAAGTACAAGACTGCAACTCATTCCCTCTGAGAGTTCATTTCAACGGGTAGCTGCTTTTGAGGTGTTGTGCATGGTTGCACGAAACAGGAAATTTAGCGTGTTCTCCGCAGAAAAAGTGAAGAAGAAAGCTGTGTCCAGTTGGTGCAAACTAGCGCGAGCGGTAAGAGGGTTTGCGTCTGCAAGCAGCAGTTCTCTCTTGACCCCAAACCTCATTGCCGGGGCGTGATCTCCGAAGTTCGTCAGGGGCATTGTCTCTGCGCCCAGCGGGGCTTGCACGTGATGGGTCGCAGCTCTCGACGTGGAAAATCTTGGTTCCAAGTATCTGCCTTTTGTGTTTCGTTGACGTGCCAAAAGATAATTAGATGGAATTCCGTCATCCAACTAGCTTTGGGTTGATACAGTGGTATATTTGCCAAGAAAAATAGAATGTCGAAATTTCGTGGTCGCATGTATGCATACTATTTGTTGTCTGGAGAGGTCAAAACGGTTTCATTTTTGCTCAATTATACATGTGTTGTCTTCGTCCCGTATTTTCTGGCCTCATGTAGATGTATGTAATAGCCGGGGTCATGCCTCCGGAAGGTCACACGAGGAACCGTATTGTTATTATATTAGTCCCACTTGCCCCCTGCGACGGTTTCAATGTGCATTAATTCTTACCACTGTGGAAGCAACCGCGCCCCTTTTCTACCTATGCTCGTGTGATGAACCATTGTATGCATACCCCCGATCACAGGCCGAGGCAAGTCCGAGCGTTGCCGAAATCCAAAAAGAGATCGAGAGGAAGCAGATGGAAGCACAAGCGGCGAAGCAGGATGTTCAAAGCCAGGAATCCCTCATACAGGTGACGATATCTGTCCTCCAAAAACCATGAAATGTTTGAGTTACTACATTTACATAATATTTTCATTTCTTGTTCTCCAAAAACCCAACAAACAATTGTCCGATCAGGCTATGGCTTCGTTGTTATGTTCGACAGGGACTGGATTTTGTCTCGACGTTTCTTTCAGCGAGCACTTGGTGAACAACTGTATATGGTGCCCGTTGAGCAAGGTGGTCTTAGTCTTGATTTTTATCATACGAGAGGGTAAAGGATTGAATGTGGCATTGCCTGGGCGCGCCATTTAGCTGGCTC